TGCACTTTAATGGAGCAGAATGGTTTTGAAACTCTATAGAGCAAAGCTATTGTTTTGGGTTTGATGTTGAACCGTACCATCAGGTGATACTGACCCTGCACAATGGACCAAAGCAAGTATGGCTGAAAATACTCATTTCCTTATTATCTTCATGTATGAACATTTTGAAAGTGAAAACTTTCATTCGATCACCATAAGCCATGCAAATAAACATTTCCGCGCAGATACAGTTAAGTTACTAGATGATAAATAAGAAAGCATGAAAAAAGGCAATTTCTTTTTCAATAAACAATAATTAGTATTAATCATATAGGATTAATTAACAAATAATAAGTATTTTAGAACGTTTTGTGCAGAGTCAACATCATATGACAATGGATAAAGTCGAACAAAAACATAGAACAATTATTCCGCTCCATTAACTATGTACCAAGCTATAAATGGTGGTTTAAGCCAGATAATTTTGCTCATTTACCAAAGCATTCTTAACCCTTAATGAAACCTGTGAAGCTACATAGTTGGATCAGTATTTTACTCACTTGTAAATAGTAGTCATATTTATCGTGTTTGACGGTTGCAAAATTCCCATCAAAGTAAGGTCTGGTTGGTATGTGGCTCAAGTCAAAGACATACCCAGCATCCTTATCCTCCACTTTACAATTGTCACCAACATTAACACCAAGAGAACAGGCAGCCGCTGGAAATAAACCAATCMGATTTAATTTAATTTTTAGTATTAGCAGGACTATAAATATTTTTAAGCATTTTTACATATTTTAGATTCGAATATATTCTTAGGTTTCAAATTTTTCTTCGATTATAAGATTCTTTTTTAGATTATTTATTTAGGTTAATATTTATTGGTTTCCTTTATATTTTAATCATATTTGATTTTGATGCACAACCCCATAAGCGTATGCTTTAATTACTTATTGTGTGGATATAAAGTTTATGTATGTATGTAGAGCAAAGGTTCTGCATGACTGTCACACATCCTGCATGACTGTCACACATCCTGCAGGACTGTCACACATCCTGCAGGACTGTCACACATCCTGCAGGACTGTCACACATCCTGCAGGACTGTCACACATCCNGTCACACATCCTGCAGGACTGTCACACATCCTGCAGGACTGTCACACATCCTGCAGGACTGTCACACATCCTGCAGGACTGTCACACATCCTGCATGACTGTCATCATGCACAGATCATCAAGTAGCTAGAATTATAATAACCAGTCAGAGTAAAGGTTAGAAATTCATCCAGCTTGACAGACTGATAGCTAGAATTATAATTTTAAATTAAATTCAAAAAAATTCTTCTTCTTAGTTTTACCAGTGTTACATTAATTTTTTTGGCAGGAATATGACATCATCGACACGAGTGAAAAACATCTGTGCATGCTCTGCATCCTTATGCAAATTAGTCAAATCATATGTAAATTTGACTTTCAAACATGCCTGATAAATTGGACTTCACAAAATGCCAAAACTTAGTGTCCATGCTTGAAACTTCTTTATAAAATAATTGGGATACTACGCGCGCTATGATTGGTCGAAAACCATGTTTCAAAACACGCTGCCATCATTTTTAATCTATCGCGCGTGCTCATTGGTCAGTTTGAATAAGACTGCATGTAGGGAGAATTTACTTAGACATCCTGCGTGTTTTGAGCAGAGTATCAAACACGGAAAACTGTTTTTGATCTGTTAATTCATATTGTGTTATTTAATACAGTATCGTGGTCTGACAAAAGTATACTCGCAAAAGTTTTTGCATACTTGGAGAAAACAAACATTTGTTTTCTCGCTCAAACTCTTCAAAATTCTTAGAAAACGTGCTGAAATGCACGCATGCGCAAACGTTTTTCTCTAGTGTCAATATCACCAGTTTAGTGGCAAATTGAAAATGACAGACATGGAAAATGTTAAGTAATGCATTCGAAGGAACTCATAGAGATATCTTCAAAACCAAAGAGATACTTGACACTTGACATTAACATTAACAATTGATTTCATTGAAAATTGCATTTGTTAGCAAACAAAAAACAAAAAAACAGGAATTTCCAAACTTTGGAAAATCATATCTTTAAAATGATTTCAGTTCTGTTCTAGCCCAAAACGGCAAGAACAACTTGCATAATATTCCATTAAAAAAAACAGTTGAAGCAATCTCATATTTAGGAATATTACATCATTACAGTATATGACATCACATGATGTCATGACATCACCATAATTACAGATGACATCACTGTCGATAGAGATGACATCACTGTCAATACAGATGACACCAATGTCGATACAGATGACATCACTGTCGATACGGATGACATCACTGTCGATACAGATGACATCACTGTCGATACAGATGACATCACTGTCGATACGGATGACATCACTGTCGATACGAATGACATCACTGTCGATACAGTTGACATCACTGTCGATACATGTATGTTACTACTAACCAGTTTCCCACATAAGCGTGTATTCACAGTTATCTGGTGAATGGCTGACGAGAACAGGAGGGCTGGTCAAGTCACCTGGATGACATACAAACGTGATATTGGTCCTGCTACGAACACCCTTGATACATTCATCCCCATTGGTATAGGTCAACTGCAAGGACTTGTCTGAGTTCAACGTCGGAGGATCCAGGTACCTTCCCAAGCTCTTGACAGATCCATCTTTATTAACCAAACATACCGCAGCTTCAGCATCACATTTTGACGTCTCAGACTGCTGTGCTAGTTTGCCACAAACATTGAGGTAAATCTTACGGTCTGAGCTACTAGTTTCGCCATCAATAGCCAACCAGTTAGACTGGTCTACGCGAACCAGTTCAGACATGTCAAACCTGATTCCCTTATCACTAGTGACTCGGCATGACGAGCCRGTGCGTCGAGAGGGGGGACAGGCATACTTTGTTTCCCAGTCAAAGAAATACACACAGTGAGACAGCTCTCCACCGAACACTGGATTCCCTTGGTCGGCCAGGGGGTTGCATTTGAAGTTGATGATAGTTTCCCTTTTGAACCCATCACTGCACACTTTGCCACCTTTGTATTTAAGGGTCAACTGGCCATCAGTGTAGGTTAGAGTCTGTTCATAGTACACGCCTAGGGATACTACGCTGTTAGTGTCTGGGACTTCTTGGCAGACTGATGCATTATAACCTAGAAAAGATCCCACATGGATTACATGAATTGGCTATTACATTTTAGTCTAAATGGTCTATCACAACTCCTGCTCTCTTATTGGCTGAGCTAAAATGGCAAAAACAATGGCAACTAACTCATGTTTTCAACCTATTTTCAAAATTGTTTGAATCCATTTAATTGACTGTTTAGTAGGTTTAGGTGAAAGACCATAAAGATTGGATTGGCTATGCTCTGGTAAAAATCCCACACTGATTACATGAATGCCCTATTTATCACATCACAATAGGCCATAAGGATTGGATTGGCTATGCTCTGGTAAAAATCCCACACTGATTACATGAATGCCCTATTATATCACATCACAATAGGCCATAAAGATTGGATTGGCTATGCTCTGGTAAGAAAAAGATCCCACATGGATTACACGAATGTGCTTTTATATCATATCACACTAGGTTGGAAGACACTAAGAATCAATTGGCTATGTTCTGGTAAGGAACCCACATGGATTACAAAAGAGCATTAATATGACAAGTATGAAGGCATGGTACTAATTGACAGTAATCTCACCTGAGGGAGAACAATCTGGGATGTTGGTTGAGCGGCAGACATTGATATAATAAAAATAATCCTTGGATGACTTGATATCAGTTCCATTAACCTTGTAATTATGACCAGGGGGTCTTTGTAATGGAGTCAGGTCAAACTGGACAAACTCGTTTGACAGGATACAGCTGTTGTTGGACAGTAGCTGTTCTTGTGGGCATGCATACTCTGTCTCCCAGAATACCTCGTACATGCAGTTATCTACTGATGTCATGACAGGACCTTTACCGCTCTGCAAAGGAAAATAAGTGTCAAATATTCATGAAAAATGATTATGACTTACTGCAATTTTCATAGACATGCAAACTCGTTAGCTGCGAGCTGCACGCTGAAATTTGGTTTTTCGTCAATCAAAGTTACATTAAATAATAATCTACATTACTGATTATTTTCTTAAGAAGTCACTGAGTAAATACAACTGTTGTTACACGAGTTAAAAATGAGAGTAAGAGAAGAATACCCCATTCACACCTAAATGTGTCTAGTTAAACTATGTTTTCATTAGGAAAAAAATTGAGAAACTAGAAACCTACAATATAATGAAACTTCCTAAAATAATGTCAGAACAAGACAAAGGATAGGTTACATGCATAATTTCACCAAATATTGTGCAGTGTTCATAGATAGTTTTCCAAACCTGTTTAGTTAAACCATGTTAAAACATGTTTAAGCCTTGGTGTGAATGGGGTAGAAGATTGTTACTATTTCCATAAACATACTTTGAAATGACATAATTTTCTGCCTGCCTGCCAGTTTCCTTGATTGATTGATTGATTGATTGATTGATGAATTCTTGGTGTATTGAAAAATGGTGCATTGAAAAAATATTTTGAACTTACTGCTTGATTAAGATCCTTGGGGCAGACAAATGTTATTTGTGTTGATGGGTTTCCTCTACAGCCAGGAACAGTACTTGTAGTGTTATATGCCATAACCACATGATCCGTTGACGGCATCAACTTTGGCATTGATCCAGCTGTAACCTTACCAATCGTGACGGCAGCATGATTAGCTGATGTTTGTGTTCTGCAAGATGAGCTTCCTTTAGGGCAACCATATGTACTACCGCCTTGCTTCTCTGGTGTGATGTCACGACAGACATTAATGAAGAAATCCTCAGAGAAATTGGTACTAACAACTTCATATCCACCTTTGGAAATAATAATAATAATAATAACAATAATAATAATAATAATAATAACAATAATTTAATAATTTCTATAGCGCAGTTTTCCATGGCAAAATGATCAAATGCGCCTTACAATCGTAAGTGTTAATAAAAAGTGAAAAAAAAAAGATATTTACAATTATGATAACTCTACTGTAAACTGTATAAAAATATGGAATCTTAGAAACTAGATTATAAAACAAACTATCTAAAAAGTAATACACTAACAATACATGGCTATTGGTAAGCTAATTTAAAATAATGTGTTAATGAAATCAAAAATATATATACATATATATATTCAAAGGTTTGTATGGTCAACTTTTGCCTTTCAGATAACCCTATATTACAAACACTATGCAGACAGGAGCAAAAAATACTGACAAAGAAATCACCTTCCTTTACTCTCCCTATTGCAGTAAAAAACTATTATCAACAGTGCCAAGTGACTGTCCTAATGGTGTCCACTGTAACAGGAGTCGACAGGGCACGAAATTAAGGCTCACAAACTCACAAAATACATGTGAAACTTTGTATTTAGTGAGTGACAAAAAATTTAACTTTTTTGTGAGTACGACCACAGTCCTGAAATTGAAGGACTGAAATGACTCGTGACTCATGACTTTGAAATTTTTGCTAATGAGAACAAAACTTASAAGCAAGGTTTTGCTAGTGGGTTTAAGAGTTAATTTCGTGCCCTGGTTGACTGTAATGCGAAATAAAAAGTAACACAATGCAAATGATCATGTGAATCGTAACATCTGCCCCAGGAGTAGATTACTCACCAGTGACCTTGATAAGTGGCGACAGGTCAATTTTCTTATTACTTATACCATTGTAGAATGAACACGGCACTTCGGCTGCTGCTGGAGGCTTTTTACAAGCTTCACTTGTTATAAACTCAAACACTGTAACGCATTTATCATTGGTGAACTCATCTATGAGCTTTGGTGAGCCCTGAAAATAAATTTAAAATTCAAATTTTATCAACACAATGAAACAACTTCTGGGCTGATCTAAGTCAGGGCATGGCTAACTCACAGATTGAACCCTGAAACAACCTCTGGACTGATCTAAGTCAGGGCATGGCTAACTCACAGATTGAACCCTGAAACAACCTCTGGACTGATCTAAGTCAGGGCACAGCTAACTCACAGATTGAACCCTGATACAACCTCTGGGCTGATCTAAGTCAGGGCATGGCTAACTCACAGATTGAACCCTGATACAACCTCTGGGCTGATCTAAGTCATGGCATGGCTAACTCACAGATAGAACCCTGAAACAACCTCTGGGCTGATCTAAGTCAGGGTATGGCTAACTCACAGATTGAACCCTAAAACAACCTCTGGACTGATCAAAGTCAGGGCATGGCTAACTCACAGATAGAACCCTGAAACAACCTCTAGACTGATCAAAGTTGCAGCATAACTAATTAAACACAGATAGTATTGGAAATTAGCATTTTAGGTTTTGAAAAGAGAGGAAAACTGAGGAGACTGGGGAAAACCCTGGAATCAAGGGAGAGACCTAACGAACTATACAGACTGCACTAACACTATACCAAATGGAATTGAAATAAATGTCCCTGCAAAATGAGGGTAAGGTAGGAGATTGTTAAAATATAAAAAATTTCAAGTTCTCCAGTTGTCCTGATCAATAACAAATTATTTCATATTGGCAATGTGAAAAGAACCCGGGGGGAGGGGATACTCTTGGCGGTTTAGGGTAGGGATATGCCTCAGAGCCTTCTGAACCCTGACCCTGTTTCAGAGTTAGATCACTGAAATTCATACCCTCTTCCAGAGCAAGATCGCTGAAAACCCTACCCTGTTCTGGTATTGCGAAAATAGATACCCTGTTCCAGAGAGGAGAGAGAGTGATTTCATATACCCTGTCCCAGAGCAAGCATGATTTTATATACCCCATTCCAGAGTAAAATCGCTGAAAACCATACCCTGTTTGGTGGCACATACCCGTATAGCCAATATAGGGGAGTACCCCCGGGGAAAAGAACAATAGCAGATTCAGAACTGAAAATAGAGTGTTTCTTAATAAAGTAATGCTGCTTGTCATTTGGGGGAAATGGAGTTAGGGGGAAAGACAGGAGTATTTAATGAATGTCCCCAGGAGGGTGGGGATGTGGTATTTTGGCTTATTACATAAACATAAGTAGATTTTCAAGACAACATCACTTTGAAAGTAAACCAATCACAACATGTGAGATTGCTAATCCTCCTCGCTGTAACATGATGCAGGGTTATGTATGATTATGCCCCAAATTCACTTTATCAATTGCTAATGATCAACCTTGCTTTAAGTTAATGAAATATTTTTCTTACCATGGTATTTCCACACTTCATTTGAATCAAAGTTGAGGTTTTACCACTAGRAATCCTGTCACACACTCCATCGCTGTATTCAAGTGAAAATCCCGACCCATCTACAGCAAGAGACGTGGTCATTTTACTCGAATCCTTTCCTCCTAAGTCGTGAAACGCCGATCCTGAATCCTTGCAAACCCTTGATTTTGTACATGGAGCTTGGAGGTTTAAGCTCTCGCAGAGATTTATGCTGTAGGTATAGCCTCCTATTTTGTACTGCCACGTCCTTAAAACACGACGAAAGACAAAATATGATGAATTATTTCTCGTTAAATGGTTTGTAAACATGAACTTTCATTTTCCTTGGTGCCACAGCTCGCAGCAAAACATTGGGAATAATACACAAATTTAGAAAAAAAATTATCCATACCTGCTAGTTACATTAAATGTCTTCCCTCCTACAGTCAGAGAACATTTTGGAATCAAGTTTGTGAAAGAGGAATATTTTACGAGACATATAAGAACAAAAAGAATTACAATCTTGTTGGCTTCGTCCGCCATCTTGGATTTGCGTTGAAAGTGTATTACGCATGCGTGATATGATAAAATGACGTCACTTTTGATGGAAGATCTACACGTGATGATCAGATGTGATGCTAAAAATAGCGACGTCGTGAGAAGTTAGTTTGAAGTCATGTGATTATCATCAAAGGATCAAATCTTTGATTTTGGGTTTTTATCAGAATCATCACCGCCACCACCCTCCTTGCTGTCCTCGTTGTCGTCTTTCTCCTTCTCCTACTCCTTCTCCTACTCCTTCTCCTTCTCTTTCTTCTTTTGTAGTTGCTTTTTTTTTCTTTTTTCCCTATCCCGTGCATGCGCAGTAAATTATTTTGTTTCACTTGGAAAACCTCGCATGGAAAATAGCACGCGCGCAATGTAACCAGGGAAGACAAAATTTCGCGCGCTTTGACCGAAACGTCACAATAGAATAAATATATTCTGTTTCCTCGCTCGTGGAATATGCAGTTGTTTGCAAAAGTGGAGCTCAAAATGCATTATTTATCACATCAAAAGTAGCAGATTATATTTGAGAAAGTTCCGAAAATGTTCCCATATCACTACATTTTCGCTGACGAAAACCAAGACACAAACAAATCCAAAAAGGAGAACAAGAAATCCCGTCGAAATCGCCAAAGAACATCAACAACACCAAACGAACATGCCGGAACATTTCCTGCTTTAGTAGAACTAAATCCAACCGAGCCGAGACGATCACGGAGGCGAAAAGCACAACCTTTAAGCCCTGAGATTGGAACCACCTCTTGTAGTCCTGTTAACACAGACCAGAGCGACGCCGAGGAATATTTTGGTATTGGATGTGTGAATCGCGAAGCCAGTCGCACACCGCGGGTAAAAATCCACTACAGGAGCAACGCGCGCAACAAGCCAACGAAACCACGACGAAAGAAGAAGAAACGCATCTCCAAACGCGATGAATCTCCTTTTCCGCCTTCGTCAAACCCGCCATTATTCTTCCATGATCGCCCTGCATCTCAGTTTGGCTCAGGATTCTATAACCGTGAGAATTCTCCCAGGAATGTCGGGCCACGAAGAAGCGCTGAGAATGTGTATGGATATGGCAGTCTCTACGGATTTCGAAGCCCTCATGAGCTTAGCACACCTAGAGCTTTTGAGCTACCACCTTTGAACGACTTTAGATGCCGAGTGTTGAAAAAACCAAACAAACTTCCTCCCATCGTAAGGGACAACCAAGCCGACAAGAAATGGGAAGACAGGCAATAAAATTTTACTAGTTCCTAAACTTTTTTTTCTCTTTTCCTATTCGTTAAACTCTTTTGATTCAGTTTTGTTTTATTGTTTTTCATTTTGCTCTTTTTCCTTTCTTCTTCTTTCTTTCTTTCTTTCTTTTTTTTTTTTTTTTTTTTTTTTTTNTTTTTTTTTTTTTTTTTTTTTTTTTTTTTTTTTTTTCCGATAAATATTTGTTCCCCAATTGTAAATATTCCATTATTGAAGTGCAGCATACCTGTGTAAATAATTTTTAGAAAAGAAGAAGAAGAGAACAAGGGGAAAAGCTAGGGAGGAAGCAAGAAATATTTACGATAAATAAACTTACCTCACTGAATCTTGAAGCTGCTAACTAACTATATAACAGTTAAGAATATATATGATTTTTTAGACCAGCAGACCAGAAGTCATAAATAATGATATGGGACCTCTTTACTTTAGGCGTCATGTTCTCCCATTTCAGACCATGTCTCATTCCTTTGAGAGTAAAGGTTAAGAGGTCTTTCGAATCAAACCAAAGGCTTTATTCTGATTCCAGACCATTCGTCATTCCTTTGAAAATGCCATCTTATAGTTGAGTCGCTGTTATTTAACAATCATTCGCCGAAGGCGAAGTGAATATCGGGGAATATTTACCGAGACGCGAGTTTTCGAGCGGCGAGGTAAWTATTCCCCGATATTCACYGAGGCTGAGGCAAATAATTGTTTTAGTATAAATACACAGGTGATTCTTTCAAAAGAAATAAGAAAAAAAAGAAGATAAAAGACATTTTATTCCGGTAACAGCAACAAAGCGGCTGGCCGCCATTTTGGATTATCGCTGGAGGTGATTATCGTGTGATAGTGTGAGTTTCTCAACCAATCAGCGCGCGAGATTTTCAATAATCACCTGTGTATTTATAAACGCGTGCTATACCATAGTGACCATAATAATTAAACGTTTACGCCTTAACCAATCAGAAAGCAGGGAATATTCTGACAGACATGATTAATCTTGTTTACAGTTCGGGAAAAAAAATCATTTATGATGATGTAATTCAATAAGGAAAACTCTCTGACTCTCTTACTTTGGGGCAGCGGTGGTTTTGCTGCAATATTAATATTTTTCTCGCAAACATTACTCAGGGAAAAGAATGTAATGATACTAAAGGGAAATGGAAAAGTAACACAACGTAGCCGAAAAGGTATATCTCGGAGTGAGATGAGAACCGGAACTCTTGGATAGAAAAATGAAGTGAACGTACTCCATGACGTAACCGTTGCGCGCCTTTTAACCATTTATAGCACCCAAAAAAGACTATAAATGTTATCATAGATTTTTATTGTCTCCAAGGGCGATATTAATCAATATTGATGATTTGGACCTAAGGAATATGTCTTTAGAGTACGAAATAAACTAACGGGCGTCATAATTATATTAAGCCATGTACGTAATGTCAGTTATCTTGAAGGTACGATATAGTGGAACGATTCTTTATTTAACTCCTTTCTTCTCGGCCTGGAAAAAACATAGAATATGTTGCTGTTGGTGAAACTTACTCTTTAAATAAATGGATTGAACTGAAAAATGATCAGAGGGTGCAAGGGAGTGGTAGATGAAATGAATAGAGGAAGGAAGGGAGTGGTGGATGGATGGATGGAGGGATGGATGGATAGATGGAGGGAGGGAGGGAGGGAAGGACGGATAGATGGATGG